GGGCCTTCCACGGCTCCTCCTCCTCCTCCTCCATCCATCCATCCTCCTCCTCCTCCTCCTCCTCCTCCTCGTGCCATCATCACCGGCAGACCTTTTCTCCCCTCACCCTAACTGCCTCTTCCTCCACCTCCTTCCGCCTCCTCACCTGGCACTGAGCCGTCACGTTTCCCTCCAAGGCTTCGGCATGGACCCGAGCGCCTTCCCTGCAGCAGATCAGAAGCAGACGGGGGACGAGGACCAGGAGTTAGTGGTGGTGTCAGTAGTGACGGAAGAGGAGGGAGGGAGGGAGGGAGGGAGGGAGGGAGGGAGGGAGGGAGGGAGAGGGAGGAGGAGGAGGAGGAGTGAACGGACTGCTTCGATAGTCTCAGGGGCTCAGGGTTTTGATCAGCCGGCATGTCGTCAAATCTTCGCAGGAGGGAGTCGTCTTCTGCAGAGGAATTCCTCCCCTGCTTCTCCTCCTCCTCCTCCTCCTCCCACTCCTCCTCTCGCTTCTTGTCGCCCTCGCTGCCTTCAGCTCGAGCTCGACGCTGGCGGTTGAGCTGAGCAGGGATGAGAGAAGCTGGTGTCTTCGCCTCCTCTTACCTGCCACAGAGCCTTCTTGGCTGTTTCTCCGCCGCCTCCTTCCTCCTACTGGACCCCCTCAAAGGTCTGCGAGCAACAGCCACGTCCTTCACCTTGTATGTCCACTTGCTGCTGCGTCGATCCGTCCTCGAGACGAACCTCCTCCTCCATCCCATGCCTGATCCAGTCACCTCTCCTCTCCCCCTTGCTGCCTCGCACGTACCATACTGCTCGATCTCTTCAATGCCGTCTCCTTCCCATCCCTCTTCCTTCCGCCGCTTTCGCTTGTTCTGCGTCGCCAGCATCTCACCCTCAGCCGCGTTCTTCGCCCACCTCACCTTCCCCTGCGGCCCTCCGCCCTTCAGCTCAAGCAGAGAGACGCTGGGGTTTGACGATCCTGATGGGAGAGAAGGACAGCAAGAGGGGGACGGGAATGAGAACGAGGGCCCTGCTGTCCTCCGATAGAGGAGGAGAGGAGGAGCAACGAGAACAAGTAGAGCTTCACATGAGCTCTGCTGCTCAGCCACTCAAACGATTCTGATCCTGCCATTTCTCTTGCCTTCTTCCTCTCGTTGAATCTCCTACTCCTCCACGTGCTATCTCCGTCTCTCTCCCCGCTCCTCCTTGACTCTTCTCTCTCCTCCCTCACTCTTCTCTTCCTCCCTCCCTTCTCGTTTCATCCTTCTCCTGCCATCACGACCGGCTTCATTGCAAACCAGAGGCGGGCCATCCCCTAACTCATGGCATGCGGGGGATGATTGCAAAGTAACCGCCGATAACGACAAGAACACGTGAGCAAATGGCGAAAGAAAATGGAGGATGGAGAGAGGGGAAGGAGGCGACAGAAGGGAGGAGGAGGAGATGGTTGAGAAGGGAGAAGAGCGAGTGACGAGGAGGGGACAGGAGGAGGAACAGGAGGAGGAACAGGAGGAGGAACAGGAGGAGGAACAGGAGGAGGACCAGGAGGAGGAACAGGAGGAGGACCAGGAGGAGGAACAGGAGGAGGAACAGGAGGAGGAACAGGAGGAGGAACAGGAGGAGGAACAGGAGGGGAGGCGGGGGCTGAGTATAGGCGCGCTCGATGTGACATGCTCTAATTTTTCACTTGGAAGGACTTTGACAGCATTGTAATGCCCCCAAAGAAGGTGCGGACAAGCTCTGACTTGTCTTCGCTTCTGCTTTTCTCTCACGCATGCGGCAGGAAGAGACGACGGAAAGGTTGGGAGCTTGGGCTCTCGGTCGCTTCTCCAACAGGCTCAAGGTTGGGATCGTCGGGCTGCCTAACGTGGGCAAGTCGACGCTCTACAACACCCTCACCAAATGTGCCATCCCCGCCGAGAACTTTCCTTTCTGCACCATCGACCCCAACGAGGTCTCGTTTCGCCGCACGCCTCTACCCCATCCCTTCCTCCTCCTCTCCTCCCTCCTCCCTCCTCCCTCCCCCCCCCCCCCAATCTTCTTCCCCATGCACATGTCTGATGCTCATCATCACTGCCTGACCCTCCTCGTCTCTTGGCAGACTCGCGTCAACGTGCCGGATGAAAGATTTGACTGGTTGGTGAAGACCTACACCCCCCAAGGTTTCTCCATCGCCTCCTCCTCCTCCTCCTCCTCCTCCTCCTCCTCCTCCTTTTCATCATCATCATCAGCAGCAGCAGCAGCAGCAGCATCATCATCATCATCATCATCACCACCACCACCACCACCACCACCACCACCACCACCACCACCACCACCACCACCACCATCATCATCACCATCATCATCATCACCACCACCACCACCACCATCATCATCATCATCATCATCATCATCACTATCCTCCTCCTCCCTCCTCCTAAATCTTTCGTTCTCCTAACCTCCTTCCACTACCTTCCCCCCCCCTTCACTTCCATCCTCTCCTCCTTCTGCTGTGCCTGTTCTTGCTCTCTTCTCTGTTCTCTCTACTAGTCTCTGGCTCCTGTCAGCTCCTGACTCTCACTGTAAGAGCATCGTCCACCCTTGGCTTGAAATCTGCGACATTGCCGGGTAAAGTCTCCTCCTCTCTCGCCCTGCGCCTCCTCCCATCTCACTCTCCGTTCTCTGCTCATCTTATCTCCACCCCCCGTCCCCCCTCTTCACTCCTTCCTCCTCCTCCTCTCCTCACCTTGTGTCAGGCTCGTCAAGGGAGCCGCGCAGGTTTTGCATGCTCGACTGCTCTTGCCGCCCGTGAGTCCTTGCAGGGGGCAGGGCTCGGCAACGCTTTCCTCTCGCACATCCGAGCTGTCGACGGCATCATGCACGTGCTGCGCGCCTTCGAAGATCCAGGTGAAGGAGAGAGGAAGTAGCGATGTAGGAGGAGGAGGAGGAGCAGCAACAGCAGCAGCAGGATTAGCTGTTGCTGCTGGCGGGAAAACTCACAAGGTCGCAGATATTGTGCACGTTGAGGACAAAGTTGATCCGATCCGCGATATTGAGATCATCACTGCAGAGCTGCGTGAGAAGGACAAGGTCCTCTTCCCTCCCCTTGCTCTCTACACTCTCACCTCCCCTCTGCTCCTCTCCCTCTCTTCTTGTTTGTTTCTTCTCATCACAGGCAACGAGCAGGAGTTTGTAGAGAGGAAGCTTGCAGACCTGATGAAGGACAAGGCCAAGTAAATGGGAAGGAGGAGGAGTGGGGTGGGGAGGAGGAGGACGAGGAGTGTGTGCGGGGAGAGTGTGAAGGTAGGGGAGGAGGTGCGGCATGACTAGGGGTCAGGGCGAACTCCAACGCGGCGACCAAGAAGGAGTGGCAGGCAGAAGTTGACACGGCAAACAAAGTGCTGCAGTGGCTCGCTGAAGGGAAGGAAGTCCGACTCGGTGTGGGAGTAGGCGACGCAGACTACTGGTAAGGGAAGAGGTGGAGAGGAGGAGCTGACCGGATCCGCCGCAGGACCACCAAGGACATTCAATTTCTCAATGACTGGATGCTCCTCACTGCCAAGCCGGTGAGCGATAGAGGAGGAGAGAAGGGACTCGAAGAGAAGAAGTAGAGGGAACAGTTGCGGTAGCGGAGGAGGAGGAGGAGGAGGAGGAGGAGGAGGAGGAGGAGAGGGTGAAGATGATCGCAGGCTCTTTTCTTGGTGAACTTAAGTGAGGAGGACTACAAGAGGTGAATTGACTCGTTGAATCCTCTCTTCACACCCCTACAGGAAGAAGAACAAGTTCCTCAAGCCGATCCACGAGTAATTCTACACTCCCTCCCTCCCTCCCTCCCTCCCTCCCTCCTTCCCTCCCTCCCTCCCTCCCTCCCTCCCTCCCTCCATTCGTCTTTGCCTGATATTTCAACAGTTGGGTACAGTCGCACGGAGGAGGGACTATCATCCCCTACTCTGGTGAGACGAGCGAGGGGCTGCGGCGACTGAGCTGAGAGCAGGCGAGCTGGAGGCGAAGCTGCAGGACATGTCCGAAGAGGAAGCCGCTGCCTGTAAGGATGAGGAGGAGAGAAGGCGAGGAGGGGGAGAGATTTGACAGGGGTGGCAGACTCGAAGGAGAATGAAGTTCCATCCGCCCTTCCCAAGATCATCAAGACAGCCTTCGCCATGGTCTCTTCCCCTCAATC